ACAAACATGAACAAGGTACACAACACATGAATAGTCTTTTAATTATTAATACTAGCAACAGCAATATGACCTTGTGAAATGAATGCGATTGTTAAAAGGCTTTATATATATATAGTAATATATATATATATATATATATATATATATATATATATATTTTTTTTATTAAAGTATGGTTTGTTTAGTGTGGACGGGATACAATTCCAATAACCTAAAAACACTATTCTTAAAAGAGAAGAACAAATATTATTTATTCGAAAATTGTAATATAAACATGTAAGAAAATCACTACAAAAATAGCCATTTTGTTTCAACAGCAGAAGTGTTGAAACAAAATTGTCATTTGAGATCGATTTAAAATATATTTATGTTATAATTTTTGAACAAATTATATATATAATTTGTTGAAAAATTATAACATGAATATGTATTTAAATCTATATATAATATATTTATATATAATTTGTTCAAATTATAACATAAATATATTTTTTAAATTGAGCATTTCTTTTAAGAATAGTGTTTATTTTATTTGTTCTCGTCAGGAATGGTAGCTATAGCTATATAATCTATATCAATATAAATATATATTATATATATATATCAGAATTTCTTTTTTAAAATATAAAATTAATTCTCCCGCTACTACAGTTTCACAATTAGGATCGTAAGGCTGGTTCAGCTTTTTGACAATTTACGACCATCGTATTTTGGATGACCAATATATTGCTTATATAAGTGGAATGTAGACATTTTATCACCAACTCGACTTCAGCATACCTGAATAAATTTTGAATGTCTGCATCAGAGTAGAGGATGTTTATAAACTTTCGAAGATTGAAAAGAGGCTATGTCTGTGTGGGTCTGATATTCCCACAGTTACAGAGGACAAGAAAATATGGTTATACGGTGAGGTATTGTTAATGTCTTCTGGATTTGTTGTAAAGATTTTGTTTAAAGTAGCCTCCATTTATTATTTGATAAGTATTTCTGTGAGGTAATGTTGTTTGTTTGTTCGTTCGTTTGTTTTTAACAACCTAGAAATTCTCTGGTGAACCCAAATGTAAAATAAAATATGGAAATATATAAGCAAAGAAAAAGAATTCAAATTAAAATAAAGCATTCGCTTTCCTTTAAAACTCTTATCTTTCTCTTTCGCTCTCTCTTTCTTTCTCTTTCTATACATCTCTCTCAACTAACGAGAAGACAACACTCAAATAAAAAAGAGGAAGAAGAAAGGCTTGAAAGCGACAGAAGTTTTCTGGTCCACGGGTCTAGCCATTGTGACTAAAAATACACCAATATAAGAGAGGCTCCACGCATAACTTCAGCTATAAAAAATGAACAAGAAAGGAACACCAAAAAAATAAAAGAATTTTGGGGTAGTCAAAAAAAAAACTCAAAACAAAGAGACTTTTGATGTTAGCCGAAACCAAGCTTCGCGCCCGTATTCTTTATCCCCGTCTAAAGGAATATAAATGGACAGCCCAGTGACAGAAGTGAGGCGACTGCCAGAGAAACCAGACATGCATGTCACGTGAAGAAGTTAAGCATGTTGCAGTTTTTTGTGTATATGTATGTATATGTAGTGAGTTAAGAAAATGACAAATATTGATTCATGCTTTATAGTCCTTAAATCAAAGAAGGTTGACAATCAGAAGACGTAAAACATTCAATCCGTTGTGTATAAAGGCAAAATTTTTTTTTACCCGAATGTCCAGTCCAGCTTGTCAGGCGAAAAGAAAAAGAAGGACGAACTATGCTCTACTACTTTTACCAAAATATCCACTGCTAACCTGAACAACGCTAAAAGAACGATTTTTCGAAATATGCATTCGATAACCTCTGGATTCTATACTCGAAGACGACCGTCAAAATGAACAACAAAGCAGTCATCTGTTTAAGACATTATTCCACCCTTCTCAGAGCCATAAAAAGACAGCAGATTGACGCCGCACCTAAGATGACAACTATTACCAAGGTCTGACTTCTAAACTATCAACTACAGAGTTGAAACAGACTTTCTCCTGACTGCCATCAATGATCTGACTTATAAACGAACTTTCGCCACCCCGAATTACAAAGGACTCACTTCGACCTAAATCAAATAGATAAATATATATTATCTATTTTATAGTTTTGAGCCTGTTCGTTTTTATTTCCCTAGTGCCATGTGACGTTCTAACCTTTTTCTGATTCGGATGGAAATCTGGTTAGATTCGGTATCAGCTTTGTCGTTCCCAGCTCGCCTCCAACGTCTGGTTACCGAAGTAACTGCTTCGATATCTAGTCTAACCTACCCACGTTGTGATTTGATCTTAGGTAGACGAAATCAATCAGTCGCCGGGCCGTAATGCAAGTCGAGTCCGAATAATGGTAATACCGCACAAGTATATGTAAAAGAAAAAAAAGTAATAACTCGAAAAGTTCAAATGTGTTAAAAAGGAATAACAATATTTTATATCTGGTTGCTGAATACAGGACTGCATCTTTCTCCCAAACCGCTAATATGGATTCGTGACAATTTGTGTTTGTTAGGCGAGTCTTAACATCTTAAATTGTTCTTTTAAGAAACTGGTTTTGGTGTATCTTCAGGCGATATTCGTAAAAGTTGTTTTGATGGTGTGAGTCTAAGTCGTTCCTCAAAAATAAATTGTTCTTGGTTAGAAGTTCTGGTCGTGATTGCGTGGATCTTTCAGTCAGGTTCCTGCGATGCGGGTCTCAGAGCTCACAGCTCAATTCTTGCCTGTCTTTCTAACCCCAACTAACTCAACTACCGTCCACTCGCTGCGACTCTGCTTATATGGACGCCGACCAAAACCGTGGTGGGCTTGTCGGAGTTTGAGGTTCCTTGATAATTCTAAATCCGCATTAAGAATTTTCTTTGTTTTCGGTCAGGAAAATTCATTAATTTCCATTTTTGGAAGTCCTTAATTCTAGTTTAAGGGAATCGTCCTCCCAAATTCTTCCTTTCTCCTGTTGGTATCTCATACGAATCCCTTCAGAGGCGTTAACAAGATTCCCCTCTCTCTCACAGTGGCATCACACACCGATCCCTTCAGGGGGCGTCAACAGGCCTCCCCTCCTTCTTCACATGATTACCTTCGCCTACCGCTCACGCCACCATTCAGCCAATAGACGCCCAGCAGCGTGGGTGTGGCTAGACTGGCCTCGGTTTAAAAAATCTCGGTCAAGGAAAAAAAAATTCTTTTTTTTTTCTTTTCTTCTTCCCGACAACAAATCCTTACGACTCTTATCTTAACCGAACGCCGTCTGGAGTTCATCAATCGAGATTTTCGCCAGCATCAAGTGGATGGTCATCTGGCGACTTTGCACCCTGGTGCTAATTATTCGTTCCGATAAAATCATTTTTCTATCATGGCCAGCTCCGACACAAAACAGGTGTTCTCAAATGATATTTCCGCAGATAGTTAAAGGTTTAATCTTTCCTTCCTTGTACTCTGCGGGTGGTCCAGCGGACATTTTTCGCGGTCAGAGCACGACCCTATTAATTTTTATCTCTTAGCATTCTGCCTTGTAGGCCACCTGACCAACCTGAAATTTTCATTAATGCCATGGGCAGATGGCTATCTTTTATTCGGTGCGTCGTCATAAATCAAATTAAACCCGGCAGAACTGAGATCTTACTTTCTTCGCTAATGAAAATAAAATCTTTACCACTTTTCTTTGTTAGAAAAAATAACACCGCTCAATGTCTGTTCGTGATAGATTCTTATCACCTAATTTAACTCTCGCTTTTTCTTTTTTTTCCGCAAACCTAAATAGTGTCACAGCCATAAATAATACTAAGTCTCTGTGATACTTCTGAGCAATGCTATTTATTTTAACAAAGAAATTCTAACTGAAATATTAGTAAAGCTGAGATACACAAAAAGGATATACGGATGCAATCTGTAATTGGATCAAATTGTTTAATATGCAAATAGGTAAAGAAATTAAATGACTATACGAAAATAGAAATAGAAGCACCATAAGGGATTTATTTAACCTGTACAGCGAGTTGATTCTTAGAGAATTAGCGATTCTATACCATTTCAAGTTCAATTTGAGACGAATCAAAGTCATTTTGGGACTAAGCAAGTTCATAATGAAATAGTCAAGTTCAAAATGGAATAGTCAAATTCAAAATGGGACATAGCAAATTCAAAATGGAATAAGCAAATTTGATTTGGGATTTAGCAAGTTCAAAATAGATTAGGCAAATTCAATTTGGGACTGTGCAATTATTTTGCTAAAAAAGACTTTAAAATTAAATATTTTCATGATAAAATAATAATGTTCAACTAAACTTTACTATTGAAATGTTTTATCTTCTAGTAAATTCGTGAAGTCAAGGGGCCAACGAGAAACGCTCTTAAGAACAATTACAGTGGGAATATTTATAGAAAAGATAACGGGAAGCTATGTTACAGAAGTTGAAAAGTGGGTGAAGCCGAGATGCCAGGTCAGGACTGATAACCGTGTAGATTCTTCTTTTCATTTTGTCAAAAATCTCTAAATATATAACAGAAACACTAGACCAGATATGGCAGCAATATTCAATGCACAGAAGAATGGTAGACTTATAAATACACAAGATAGATTCATGCGAGAAATATTGTCTAACACAGTATAGTGAATCTACTTTGTTCTAACACCAGGCTTAGCACTTCATGTCAGTGGAAACGTGAAAGCTAGAATTGTTTCCTTGGAGGTTAGCATCAGCTATACTGGTGGAAGGTAAAAAGTTTTTTTGTTTTTTTTTAAAGGAGGGCAGTTTCGCTTTGGATTAATAAAACATTTCTTGCCCCATTTAACAACAGATCGAAGGTCATTGTCGAAATTAGCTGCCAATTTGATTTTATCGAATCTACTAGACATATTTGTCAATCTGGCGGGAACAAGTACCAGGAAGGCAAAAAAGGCTTCGTAAATGTGTAAAAACGACTGACAACCGCAACAGACTGCGGAGAAATATGACCACTCGCGTTCCGAAAGACTGTATCAAAGAAAGAGAGAGAGAGAGAGTGAGGGGTGAGTGATAGAACGAGTGAATGAGGGAGTGATTGACAGAGAAAGAGAATGTCCTGAGAAAGTAAGTGAGAGAGAGAGAGTGAGTGAGTAAGAGATAGAGTGAGTGAGTAATAGTGACAAAGTAAGAGCGAGAGTGAGTGAGTGATAGAGAAAGTGAGGGAGTTAGTAAAGGAGGTAAAGAGGGTGAGTGGTCGATTGACTGGGTGATTTTTTGAGTAAGTGAGTGAGAGGGAGAGAGTGTGTAAGTGATAGAGGGAGCGTGTGAGCTAAATAGGTAAAGAGTGAGTGTGAGAGAAAATGAGTGATATATGGATTAACAGAGGAAGTGAGTGAGATAGTGAGTGTATGATAGAGAGAGAAAGTAAAACTGAGAGAGTAATTGAGAGTGAAAGTGAGTTATATAGGAGTGAGGAAGACAGTAAGAGAGAGGGTGATTGAGTGATACACGAAGTGACGGAGGTAGTGCGGAAGGTAAGGAGGGAAAGTGAGAATGAGTGTGTGAGTGAATGGGTGAGTTCGTGAGTGTGTGAGAAAGAGAGAGTGAATAAGAAAGAAAGAAAGAAAGAAAGAAAGAGACTGTGTAAGTGATAAAGGTGTGAGTGAGCGTGTGAGTGAGAGGGAGAAAGAGTGAGTGTGAGAGAAAATGAGTGAGTGATACATGGATTGACAGAGTGAGTGAGTGAATGAGATAGAGAGTGAGTGATAGAGGGAGAAAGTGAGACTGAGAGAGTAATTGAAAGAGAGAGTGAGTGAGTGATAAAGCGAGTGAATGAAAGAGGGAGAGTGACTGAGAGATAAAGGAAGTGACGACGATAGTGCGGGAGGTAAGAAGGGAGAGTGAGAGTGAGCGATAGAGTGAATGGTTGAGTTCGTCAGTGATTGAGAAACAGAGTGAGTGAGAAAGAAAGACTGTGTGTAAGTGATAGAGTGAGTGAGGGAGCGTGTGAGTGAGAAAGGAAAACAGTGAGTGTGAGAGAGAATGAGTGAGTCAGTGAAAGAGGGGGTGAGTGAGAGAGAGAGAGAGACAGATCTATAGAATTATCCCTTGTTGCATATGTCATACAAATACGCAGCATAGAATGTTACAAAATGCATTCCTCGTTTTTCTTTTTTAGTTTTGTCAAATTTATATCAATATGAATATACAGTGGAACCTCTGTTTACGAATTTAATTCGTTCCTGAAGGCCGTTCGTAATCTGAAATGTTCGTAAACCGAAACTATTTTTCCAATAAGAATCAATGTTGAGAAAAAAAGTCACAGTACAATAAAATTGGAAAAAAAGGCACAGCAGAACACACGAATGTATACAATATAGCTATCGACTCAGAAATTATTCCGTTCGTATTAACTCGGTTCGGCTATGTTGTTCGAGAACCAAAATTTTGTTCGATATCCGAGGCATTTTCATCTTGAATTTTCTGTTCGAAAACCGATTTGTTCGACATGTAAAACATTCGAGAACCGAGGTTCCTCTGTATTTGGTTTATAAAAGGTAACCACACTAACAATGACAAAGATTTCGTATCATCACTGCACTTGGCAGGCATCCATAGCTATGAAATCCAGCCTACTCACCATTTTGTTAGATGGCCATTGACCCTACAAGAAAGCTCACCCACCTTTTAACAGGTCTTATTTTTAATCCTGCTGTATGCTTTGGCACATTCCTCCCTAGAGAATCTTGGTAGGAGCTACAAAAAGACAATCGAGTTTTGCCAAGTTAAGAATAATAAAAGATTTTTTTTTTATTATTTCCTCCTCAAAAGAGCGATATGTAATTTGTTCATCTCCCTGTAGTGGACTCTTCTGTTGATGTAGAAAAAAGGTGTTGCACAATATACATAAATATACATTGGCTTTTATATATGCTTATTCTATTTTACTTTAAACTATTAGTGCTATAAGAAAGAAATACTCAAGAAACAAAACTACTTCTAAAAACATTACCCGTAAATATATATATATATATATATATATATATATATATCTCGGAATAATGTCAATAAAAAGATTAATTGATATTTTTATCTGATATTATTTCACTTGGAAATTAATATCCGATAAAAAAAAGTCCATTGATTACTTTGTTTACGTTCTCGATACGAAAACGTGAACAATGGCTTAGGGCTAGCATCTCTGACTGAAGCCAATTCAGTCGGGTTTCAATCCTAGCTAGAGGCAACCAGACGTCTAGCCACACTGATGAGCTGTGATACAGCGAAACAGTCTCTCTGTGGATGGCTCTCTCTCTGTATATATATTATAAATCGATTTATTTAAAATATGTTTTTTTTTCGCTACACAATTCTAACCATGTTTGAGGCGTATAATATATATATATATGTGTGTGTGTGTGAAAAGTGTATATAAATATATATATATATGTATAATTATTTATATATTATATGCGCGGTGTTTATATATGTATGAGTCCCGACGGACGACCAAGTATGTATATGTGTCTGTATGCGTTAGTACGATGACAAAACGACGAAGTTTCTCCCACCACTTCCACAATAACACCAATACACGCAATCTACATAAACCCAAATTTTTAAAAAAATTAATCAGTTTGTCTGACGATCGCTAAAGCGTGAAACCCAGGGTCACAAACTCACATCTATCCAACCAAATATATATATATATATATATATATATATAATACGCCTCAACGTAAAACAATTATATATTACTTGATTATTTCTGGCTAGTATCTCTTTTACACATTAAGCAACAAAAGGCCACTGTAATGAAAACGATCCATTATGGTGTGAAATTGCTTGATTATTTCGAAAATGACATTAAAAGTTTGCGCTCGATTACCGTTTAGTAGTTATGGACAATGTGAGTTCGAGTTCATTCGCGTTGCGTCGACATAACAGCTGCCATTACTGGCATTGTTTTCATACGTTTGCCTCGAGCAATCATGAGCGGAAGCTTCACTTGTTTTGATTACAACGCAATGCGCGATGTTTAAAATGAATGTGCGATTCCAAATATAGCAGTAAAAATGAAAAAAAGAAAATAAAAATAAAATCAAAATTATATGCCTAAAAGGATAGGGGGTGGATTGCTTCGTAAAAGTGTCCTTAAAATCTGAAAGGTAAAAAAATGATGTGTCTTTTTTTTCAACAATGCTTTTTTTGCGGGGTGGGGAAGGGTTCATCCATGACATTATATTTATTTAGAAAAGCTTTCAATTGTTTCTATAACAAATTTAAACCAATTTAATAAAAAAGAAATTATTATATACTAAAGTTTCACTTCTACAAAGAAACATTACTTGTAATTTGAAAAAAGGAATTTATACCAATTAAAAAAAAAACTATTCATTTAGAACTACATTTAAAAAAAAAAAAAAGAAAGCACATTTTAAAATAACTTTCGCGAAAATTGCGCAGTAATCAAGACAAGTAAGAAGATACGAAAAGTAGTAAAAAGGCCATTAGCTAAGTAAGCTTCCGCGCATTACTGCTCGAGGCAAACGTATATAAACAACGCCAGTAATGGCGGCCGGACAACGCGAAAGAGGTCGAATTTACATTGTCGATAAATCTAAAATCGATAAATCCAAACGTTAATCGAGCGCAAACATTTATTGACATTTTCGAAATAATCAGGCAATTTCACACCATAATGGAACATTTTCATTACCTTTTGGTTCTTATAATGTAAATTAACCTATAAGTTTACCATTCGTCCATGCTTGAAATATTGCTGTCGTAATTGGTCCGGTGCGTACACTATGTATGGATAAAATACAAAAAAGAATCTGCAATGCTTTTGGTCCTGATCTGGCATCCCGGCTTCAGTTACTTTCACACCGCCGTAACATAGTTTCCATGCGCCTTTTCTATAAATACTTTCATGGTAATTGTTTGGATGAACTTTCCTCTTTGGGACAGATTGAAGACCAGCCTTCCCCTACCACACCTTTTGGACTTGTCCCACATTTTTGTATTATGACAAAATAAATATTACTTTCCTCATTGGTACCTAGACTTTATAAATTTAAAGGCAGTATTAGATTTGCAGCAAGGCCTCATCATTTTACAGTTGAAATGGCCGCTAGATGCAACCGTAAGTTCTATGCTAAATGATTCTTCTTTCGCACTTTTCGCTCGTGGAACTCTTTTCCTGTTTCTTGCTACCCACTCAATTTTGATCTTCAAAAATCTAAATGCAATGTCAATCTTTGTTTTTGTCTTTTTAATTTATGTTCTTTTATTGTTAATTAATGTATTCTTTTTTTTCATATTATCTCACACCCAGCAACCTCTTGTGTCTTAGTGGCTTTATTGCCTTCTGTAGTGTGAAATGATGAATAAGTAAATAACTAACTCAGTATATCCCTTTCTGGTATTTTTTCTACTTTTCTTCCGATTCATGACACCAGTCGTGACCCCAGACGTGAAATAAGATTTATATTTTTTCTTTCAGTTCATAACACCCAGAAGAATGAAATTATCAAAATCGGCAATAAATTCGATTCTCAATTGTGCACTTTGTTGATTATTTCTCATGAAACAACAGGTAAGATGCTTGAAAAAGAAAATAAGTTACAAAGTTTTAAAGAAACAACTTACTAATTAACATAAAACAAAGAATTCTGTTTATTGTGCCGCAGAATATAACAGCAAAGCAAGGAAAAGGTCAACATCGACGAATTATACTGTCCAACATGCTCCCCTTTGATCAAAATAATCTTCGGAAAGACGATATGCGTTTTATTATTTCTTTGTTCTTCCGTTTAATGTCACGACAGAAGAATGGATCCAAAACAAACTATTAAATAAGCGAACTAAACAAATCCCCCCAAATTTTTACTACCTTAATAAAACATCGAAAACCGAAAAGAATAAATAATATAAAACAAATATATAAAATAAAAGATGAAAATAAAAAACAAGTAAAATAAATTAGCTCAAATAAATAAACAAGCCACGCCCGCCAAAATAACCGCCAGAATAGATTACCCACAATGCACCACTGACCCATATATATAAATAGTCGAGAAAATCCAACACTCGCGGCCTGACGATTGCGTCTAGCATGGAGCAGCCTGTCGCCTATGAGTGTTGACTTCAATGTTCACTTTTATATTTATATTTAGATACTCTCTCAATGAAAATTAAGAAAAATAGATTCAAAAAACGAGTAGAAAATATAATATTTCAGGATATTTTTATTATCGTCTTTCAAAATTAAAAAATCTATAAACTGATTGACACATTCGGTTTATTTGCATATACTAAGCTTAGTTTATTTTCAGTGAGACGGATAGAAGAAAACAACTTGATGAGCTTATGTAAATGAATGGCGGAACAGGGTTTAGGAAAGATAACAAAAAGATAAAATGTATTAAGAGCTACAAAGGACAGGAAATTGTGGAGAGCCCTGATCGAATACTCCCTGAAGGGACACAGTACATAGAAGGAAAAAAAATAACTTGTGTAAATGGATGGCGGAACAGGGTTTAAGAAAAATAACAAAAAAGACAAAATTTATTAAGAGCTACAAAAGACAGGAAAATGTAGAGAGTCATAATCGCCAACGTCCTGAAGGGACACAGTACATAGAAGGAGAAGAATGGACTTGGGTAAACGATGGTGGAACAGGGTTTAAGAAGAATAACAAAAAGGACAAAATTTAATTTGTTCAGGTGTTTTAAACCTACGTGTAAGTGCAGAATAAAGAATGAATGTCCCTTAAAAGTAATTGCTTAGAAAACAATGTAATATACCAAGCTACTGTAAAATCACCAGATAATGAAAAAAATTATATATAGAAGTAACTGAAGGACGCTGGAAACAAAGAAACTATTCACACAAAATATCTTTCACAAATAGTAAATACGCTAACAGCACAATGCTTTCTAAGTATATCTAGGAAATTAAAAACAAAACGCAAATCACACCAAAAATATCTTAAATAATTTTTGTTTGTTTTAATTTGAAATAAAACTACACTTATCCAAAAATAAATTACATTGCTTTAGGGGCTTAAAAAGCAAATTTACCAATCTTTA